GGCCTCGCCGCCTGGCCGCAGAGGAGGCGCGGGGCCGGGAACGCCGGCCAGCCGCCCGGCTGCCGGCGGGGGCTCCGGGTCGGTCGCGGCTGCTGACGGACCCGCGCGAGCGCCGGGGAAAGTCTGGGAAGCCGAACGGTGCCCGCGAGCCGGGGGCGCAGGTTGGCGGAGCCTGGGAGGCCGGTGGCTCGCGCGCCGGTGCTTCCAGCCGCCGCCAGGCGAGGCGCAGACTGCAGCCGGCAAGGCTCGCCGGTCACTGCCCCCCTGCGTCAGGGCGGGTGGCACAGGTGGGGTGGCGGGCAGGGGAAGCGGGCTGGGAAGGGGAAGCAGCGTGCAGCAAAGCCGGGGCCCAGGTCTTGGGCAGCTGCACAGACAGGAAGAGGGCCCGGGAGGCAGGAGGGAAAGCTGAGGGGCTAGAAACTTGCACGGGTGCGGGGAGGTGTTTTTCCAGAAATCTGACTTCTGTGCCCAGAACTCTATTCCGGGCTTCCCTGAGAATCACAGCACACATTCTCCTGCTAAAACAGTGCCGGTGCCCCCCAGAATCTCACCGTGGAAATGAATGCCCCTCTTTTATACCTGCAGGTCAGTTTTCAGCCCACGCAGGTCCGCTTTTCAGACAATGCATGGCTCTGGTCAGCTTTGCTGGGCTTCACAGAAGTCCCTTTCTCCGCATCACTGCAGCCCATTTTACAGCTCCATTCTATCTTCACAGGAACCCCGTGAGGCCGATTGGGCTGCGAGTGAACCACTGGCCCAAAGTCTCCCAGCGAGGGGGGGCTAGACGAGTCCCACACGCTTCCCTGCTGCACCAGAGGGGCTTCCTGGCACTGCCCCCTGGCAGGGCAGCTGGGCGATCTGCTCTGTCCTAACCGCCCCCCACCACCCCCACTTCCCACTTGCAAAACTGGAATGCTTTGATCTCACTCGCAGGGCTGTCTGGAGGATAAACAAAATTAACGGGACAGCGTAAATGCAAAGGTAACTGCTAGTTTTTGTGAAAACGCTCCAGGGATGAGCCCGTTCAGCTCCTGCTGGCCCTGGCTGAACCCAAGACTCCCGCCGTGGTTCTCACCTACCTGGACGATCGCCTTCGACCCTGCCACTTCCAGGACCTGCCCACTGCGCTGCGTGCCGTTCGGGAGGGTGAAGTTGACAATCTCCGCATACTGGGCAAACTGCAGGAGGAAGCAACGCCAGCCTGGTCAGACGGGCACCCGGCCGGTGCCGGGCGCTGTCTCTCCAGAGCGAGTCCACGGCGGCACTGGCAGTCGGCGCTCACCGTGGGGCATCCACCGGCTCTTACGCTCTGGGTGAACCTGTTCTGCCACGTCGAGGGAGGTGGCCTTGAGACCAAGAGCACGGAGGCAGGGCAGCTGTGCCAGGCGAGAGGCCGAGGCCGAGTCCGGCCAGCAGCGCAGGGAGCCAGTGGAAGGGCAGCAGCCCGGCGACGGGGCACTGGCCAAGCCCTGGAGCCTCCCGGGTTGGCTCCTGGCAGCCCCAGGCAGGGCTGGGAAAACCCTGGAGAGCAGTGGCAGCCACGCGTGGGCCTGGGCCAGCCCTAAGAAGCAGCCGCTTGGGCCACCTTCTCCTTAGTGTTCAGCCTAACCTACCTCGCAGAGTTGTTGTGGGGACAAGGAAGGGAAGAGCTCAGGAGGGCAGGGGAGCATTTTGGGGCCATCGTCACATTCTCTGCTTCTCTGAGAATCATGGAAACGGAGCTGCTCTCTCCAATCGTCCAGCTGCAGAAAGGCCGGTCCGGTCCCTGAGCCGCTCCTTCATACGTGAGCCTTCCCCCGCCCGCCCGGCCCGTGACGGCACTGTTTCCCCGGAGCCTTTGATGGGGAATTTGATGGAAGCTTTTTGGAAATCCAAGGACAGGGTGTCTAAGGGGCCGCTCCTGTTTGTGCGGTGGGTGCCGCTCCCTGAAAGGGCGGGAAGGCACCTGAGCAGCGTGGCAGGTCGGCACTTGAGGCCCGGGGCTTAACTATCCTGGGGTGGGGAGCTTCGGAGGGCCACACGTATCCACCTGAGATCATGCGAGCAATATTTGTTTCCCCCGCTCTTCCGTGCCGGACAGCTACTGCGACATCCCAGGTATGTTAGAGCCAAATAGCAACACCATCATCGGCCAGCTCTGATGAACAGCCATTCCCTGAGCGTACGCAGCTGTTCGTTTCCCCCTTCCTGAAAGTTCGGCACTGTCGTGACTTCGGGCGTAACTGCAGGAGCGTGTGCCTGGTGTGGCTCACCTGCCACTGCCCAGGTGGTCGCCTGGGAGGCCCCTGGACTGCGGAGCCGCAGATCTCAACCCCCCCCCCCGGTCAGCCATCAGCACATCTGACCACATCTGGTTCTCAGAAGCGGGCTGTGGAGGTGGGCCCAACCCCTGCAGCTTGTTTCCAGAGCCCGGTCTTCGCAGGTATACTGCCTCTGAGCATGGAGGTTTTATTTGGATCCAGCCATGCACGCTGCACATCGCTTGTTCGGAACGGCTGCCTGTTCTTGTGCTGAGACAACACCCTCCTCGCAAACGTGCCGTACTTTGGCTGAGCCCGTGCTTTGGACATTGCGCCTCACCACTGAGAGGTGGGGTGGGGGGCATCTTTGTCTCCCGCTTTCGCTGACCTCATTCATCCCCTCTTGTGCGTGTATCAGAAAGGAAGGCGTTCGAGGGACTGAGCACTGTTTGGGCACAGCCCAGCAAAATGCCAAGCGCGCCTCCCGTCGCTCGGGGCATGTCTGCTCCTGGAACGTGTGACACCGTCTTGCTGGTCGGCCACTCCCAGAGCCGTCGGCCCGGCTGCTTGTGGGCAGCCGCCGCCCGGGCAGAAACGGGCCCAGCCGGCATCCGTGCGCCTCCCACTCGGCAAGCCAAGCGGATCTTTGTGGGAGCCAGCCGCTTGCAGCTCAGTGCGGCTCCTCCCGAGCGAGTGCGCCCGACATCTCGCATCCGCCTGCTCCAGCGCACGCTGCTGGGGAGCCATAATTCGCAGCCACCGGAGGCGATTAGGGGGTGTGGCTGGCGCCGGACTCGGGGCCAAAGAAAGGGCCCCCCGGCCCAGGGCTCCCGCAAAGAAAGGAAGGTGAGGGATGAGGGCCGCAGAGGCAAGCTCCGTTTCATTCCTATCATCAAGAAGATGCCATCGATTAAGGAGGGTTAACGTGTGTAACTGCAGGTGCTCAGAGGATTCCTTTAAAAAAGGCTTGCTTAGCAAACGGCTTCGTGTTTATCGTGCTAACACACCGGGAGATGTGGAGCATGGAACAGCCGCCAGGACAGCAAGGGGCATCCGTTGTGCACTTCAGAGCAAACACACATGGCCAAAACTCCCACCTTGGCCCCACAAAGCCACAGGGTCCAACGTGCAGAACCGCCTTGAAAAGCCCTCTCCAAGCGGATGCCCTCTGGAAGTCTCAGGTCGCTGGGGGATCATGGGAGTCGTGATCTGGCACACCTGGGGGGCATCCCCTTCCAGAAGACTCAGCCAGGACAGTAACATGGAGCCTCTCTGTTCAGAGGCAGTATCCATGAGAACTGCAGCTGCTGGGACAAAAACCAGGGGAGAGCCATCCCGTGCCTTTGCTCCGGGGGGGGGGGGGGCACGGGGCTGCTGCGAACCCCAGCACGGCTCTTGTGCAGGCTGCTCCAGGATGACTCTGGCCGGGTTTCATTCCGCTAGGAATGCCGGGTGAGCCGCTGGTGCTGCAGCCCAGGCCAGTGGGGCCGGTGCCGAGGGAGGCCTAACCCCAGCCAGGACTGCAGCCTCAGAGGCTTTTGTTCACACACGGGAACCAAAACCGGCCTGAACTTGCAGACCACCGAGCGCTTCACTGGCTGATCAGCCACGGCCCAGGCTGGCTCACCCATTCATGCCAGCGGCCCCAGTTGCGGCCGTGCAGAAGCACCCAGGGCTGTGCTTTCGCGCTCCAAACGGGTCGTGGGGCTGGATCAGGGCTTGCTCTAACGAAGGCAGTCGTGACGCACAGCCGCCGCAGCCCAAAGGCACTAAGTGTGCAGCATCCTCTTCCTCCTCCACCGCACTTTATATTTGCACCACAAGTGGTTAAGCTTGGCCAGATGCCAGTTGGCCCAGGGATGGGCAATTGGCCTCCCTTCGCAGCGTTTACGTGCGCGAGTCTCTTTGGCCACTAGAGGGCACCCTTTCAACCCAAGGCTGCCTACCTAGGAAGACGGGAAAGGGGCGGGTGGGGGGCTAGTGACCCCAGACCCAGTCAAGCAACTTCGGTGGGACCCTAGAGGAAAACTCCTCCGGAAATTTCAGTGGGCGTCCCTCTAGATGGGCACCCCAGAGCGGGAGCACCGGCTGAGCCCTCAGACGGCACTGCAAGCAAATCGCTTTGGCCTGGGTCAGAACTGCTTCTGCAGAAGGGCGATTGGGGGGGGGGCTCCCTCCCCTGGGGCTATTGAGGCCCGTCACACACTCAGCTGCTGGGGAAAAAGGGAAGAATCGCCTGCTGGGGGGCAAGTGCCCCCCCGCGATCCTGGCCTGGGGAGGAACACTGGGGTCTCACCTTGGTGGGATCCCTGAACTCCACAACACACAGTGATTCAACAGGTGCAGCTTTCGGAGCACCCACCAGGGGGCTCCCCCTCCCGTGACCAGTGAGGGCCTGCAGGAGACGCAGGTCCCTCCCCAGCTGGGTCCTTTTCCAGGGGAGCGTGACGGCAGCCTCCATGGGCACGGGGGGGGGGGAACGGGGTGGAGGGCAGAGCCCCAGCGTACGACTTGTGGTGCCTTCTTTGGCACCTCGGTGCCGCTGGCCACTTTTCCCCAAGCACAGGGCGTGGGCTCCCCCGATGGTGATTTCGACTCGCAGTCCCCCCCTCCGACCACCCCCGCGACCCGCACAGCAGCCGTCGCCTTGTACCTTCACGTTGTCCAGGACTACCAGCGGCCCGTTCACCCCGCAGACGGTCCAGTAGGCTGTGGAAAGAAGAAGCCAGGCGAGAGCGGAGTGAGGGGGCGCTCCAAAGGGGGGACCATGAGCCGGTGGGGAACTGGCAGGAAGGGGAGGCGGGGTGTGCCAGGTGGGGTGTGAGCGAAGGCACCTCACGAGGACCAGGCGGAGGAGAAGAAAGGCACAGGAAGGGACGAGGGGGAGGCCCAGGGAGCTCCGGGGGAAGGCCAGCGTGGAGCATCACAGGAGAGCTGCAGTTTGAAGGATCCACGGGGGGGCGGGGGGGTGCGGGGGGCAGGGGGCAGCACTGCACAGGCCTTCTGGGCAGGGGCTCCGGGCAGGAGGGGCAGCAGGGATGTTGGTCTTGGCCAGACAAGTTGCAACCGTTTGCGGAAGGCTTCTCATCAAAGTCCTAACTCTAAATCTTAGGTCTCCGGGTGGCGCAACGTTTTTTAAAGAACCACTCAGATATCCATAAAGCGCTTCCCCCTCGCTATTTCCGCCGACGGCCATTTTGTCCAGTAAACACCCCAAGGGGGAGACTCTCCCTTGAGGGAATCCATTTGCCCCATTCTCCTCTGCCCCCCGTTCCTGGCCTTTCATCCCCGGGCGACGTCCTTAGAAGATGCGGACACAGGCAAGGTCCTGCTGGGTCTCCAAGGGGGATTCGGACCGGAGCCCCACGTAGCGACCCCCCAGGTGCCCCCGGGAAGCCCCCTTGCCACATGCTCACGGGAAGGGCCCTGCCGGATCAGGCCGGAGGTCCAGCTGGATGGGCATCCCCGTTGCACAGCGACCGCGCAGCTGCCCCCAGGAAACCCCCTAAGCGGCCAGGAGAGCAGCACCCTCCCACCCATGTGCCCCAGCAGCCGGGGCGCACAGGCCCCTGCCTTTGAACCCTTGCGACTAGCAGCCACTGGGGCGAGCTGGGCACGCCTCTGCTGCTGGCAGCCTGCATGGGATCGCGCCTCCCCCCCCCCCGGGCAGCAGAGGAGTTCGCTCCCCCGGAGCCGCTCGGCCCCCTTGCGGGTCCCCGCGGTGCCCCAGAAGGGCTCGGGTGGCGGGCAGGCCTGGCCAGCTCCAAGGGCGGGGGGGGGGGGGCTTCCGTGGGCCGCCCCCTCCCCCTCGGCCGTGTCAACTCCATTAGGCCTGACGCGCAGAGCCACCATTTCTGTAAAGGTCACGACCTCCCAGTCGGGCTCAGCGAGGTCCGGCCTCTCCGAGCTCACACATCTGTGCCGGCCCAGCGTGCCCGCTGCGAGGGGACAGAGGGCAGGGGGACGCGGGCTTGTGTGCGCGCCCAACGAGGGGCTCCCCTTTGTTGTCCTGTTTCTCTGGGCTGCCCCGCTGCTTCTGCGGGGGGGGGGGGCTTCCCACCTTCCCGTTTCAGAGATCGCACCCGCCACCGCTCCGCTGGCATCCCCTGGCCGGGCGCCCCGTCACACGCACCAGCACCACCAGCACCTCCACCCTGCCGACGGCCCCGCCACTGGCCACGCTGCCCGGCGTGTAATTAACGTGGGATTACAGCGCTCGCCCACCACGCACACTCACACACACGCACGCACACCCTTCCCGCTGCACCAGGGGTTCTGGTGACAGCATCTGCCGTGACAGCAGAGTGACTGGGTGAAAGGTCAGCTTAGCACGTTTCCAAATGTCAGGGCGTGTTGTCTGCAGCGTTAATCCACAGGGGAAGGGGCTCGCCGCGCTGGACGGGCAGAGGGGCCTGGGCCCGGCCCCGCACTGCCCGGACGAGGAGCCAGGAGCCGCTGCCCTCGCGCTGGGAACCAGCCGGGCCAAAGGGGGCGGAGGGCTTCGGGAGCAAAAGAACCGGCCCGCCGGCCCGGACCAGCAACCCGTGGCCCGGCCAGGCGCCACGGGCTCCCCGGCGTGGTGGCTTGGCTGTTGCCCCCAGGTCCGAGTGCCTGCCGTGTCCACCAGCTCCACTTTAGAAGGAAGGCGCCTGGCAGAAACCGGAGGCCTTTTCCAAGTGGGAAGAGTGGGGCTCGGAGGCAGAGTCCGGCATGGCTCATCCTCAGCCCCGCGTTGTGCAACGTCTCCGCTGCCCAGGTGCGCTTGCCAGAACGGGGGCCGGGGACGAGCACCGCCATCAACGCCGCCCCGGCTCCCCCGGCCCACGCGTGCGGCAGCCCCCGCTCTCTCCTGCCCACGCCTTTCTGCCGAGCTGCCCTTACCCTCCCAGGCTCCCTGAGGAGCCGGGCCCTGTGCGACACCCGCGTGAGCAGAGGTCAGGGCGCCTGCACCCCGGTCCTCTCTGCAGCCACCCCCACCCTGCCTGCGGCCCTCTTGCTCTGCAGCGCGGCTGCTCCTGCACATGGAGGTTCTGCTCAACTGCCTGCCAGCCAGAGGTCCTTGCACGGAACCCATTTTCAGTCCATCTGCTGATGATCACCAAGACCCCATCAGTGACCTGGGTTTAGCTTGAGTCTGATACTGAGCTTCCTGGTCCCACGAGCAGCGATCTCGGACAGGAATCCCAACCGGGAGCCCAGTCCCGATGCTGCCCAGCCAGCAAAGCGGCCACGGCCCCAGCGCCTCGCGCTCGCTCTGCCTTGCCGCACGGCACGTGGCAAGACTCTCCAGGGCGCGTGTGGCCAGGGCTAAGCCACGGCGTTTGTGCCCGTGTCCGTGGCACCCGTTTCCACGCTGCTCCAGCTGCTTGGGGGCGTTCTCTTTTGCAAGGTGGACCGAGTGGTGGAATATTCTAGGTTCAGGCGGGCTTTATGACCCCTCATCAGCTGAGCCAATATTTAGGGGGCTTCGGTCAAGCAACAGAAGGAAAAGCTCCCTCTGGTTTTAAAGGCTGCAGCCTGTGTTGCCCCAGAGACTCTTCCTTTTTAGCTCTGTAGATTTTTTGTTTTTGTGGGGGACTGGCTAAAGCCCCATTCCTTTGCCCTATAAGCCCATGTGCATCATATTATTATTATTAGTAGTAGTAGGAGTATTCCTAACCCTAACAATAACAACAACAATTGAACTTATATACGGCCCAATAGCCCATAGGTTCTCGGTGATTTACAAATTTTAAAAGCATATACACACTCAGTAAAATAACCTTATTTAAACAGAACAATGAACAAGAAAAAAAATACAATGAGACCAACAAACCAAGGCAACTATACACGGCACAGGAGCAGTAATTTTGTAAGCCGCCTAGGAACTTTTTAAAGTAATTGACAGCATAGAAATGGAAATATAGATAAAAATAAACACATAAATAATAAAAGCAGTATGAAAACCACGCTTCCCTATTAAAATACCTGGAAAATGAAACGGTTTTCACCTGGCACCAAAAAGAGAGCAAAGATGGTGCCAGGCACACCCCTTTGGGGAGCATGTTCCAAAGACCCGGTGCCACTCCTGAGAAGGCCCTTCCCCTGGTCCCCACCCCCTTGCTTCTTTTGGCGGGGTGTCCCTGAGAAGGACCTCAGCAGATGATCTTCGGGGCTGGGCAGGCACCTCCATCTTTCTGTCACCCCAGACTCAGAGAGAGATTGCCCAAAGTTGGCTTTGACCTCGCAGCGTGGCGAGGCGGAAATTTCTCCCTCCGGGCTCAGGCTGATCTGGCCTCCTTTTCACATTTTAAACATTTCAGCTGTTTAAAACGGATCCCATGGTAACACATTTACCATTTAATATTATAAATAGAGGATGGCAAACAGGGGAGAAGGCCTCTTCCATGGGGGCTCCTCCAACTACAGGATGGTCTCCCTGGTGAGGCCCCCCCCCCGCCCCTGTGCCAGCGTCGTCACATTTCAGGCACCGGGAAAAGAGACTCCTCTGTTGCAAGCCCTGCGGTGGGTGGGCTGTTTTTTTATTTATTTATTTATTTATTTTTTGATTTATATCCTGCCTTTTTCCTACAAAGGGCTCAAGGCAGCTTACATCTCTTCCTCCATCTTATCCCCACAACAACAGCCCTGTGAGGTAGGTTGGGCTGAGAGTCTGTGACTGGCCCAAAGTCACCCAGTTGGCTCCATGGCTGAGCGGGGACTCGAACCCGGGTTGCCTGAGTCCCAGTCCCGTGCTCTTAACCACTGCACCACACTGCCTCTCTATCTGGTATGTTTTCTATCTGGTATGTTTTAATTCTGCCACAAGTCACCCTGAGCTGCCTCCTTTTGAGGCAGGGATCTGATAAACCCTTTAACATAATAATAGAAATTAAAACACACCTGAAGTCCCTACTGGTATGGTATGAGCATCACTGGTAGGCCTCTCCCAACCCATCCAGTCCTCCTTCTTATACCACAATGGCTAAGTTTCCTTGGGGACCCTTCAGTTCCTCTGAGCCAGGTCCCCCGGTTGTGAGGTTCTACTGGGGGCCTCTCCATTCGACAGCTGCAGGCCCTGAGCTGCCCCCCCCCCCCAGTGATTGTCCCGTGCTGGCCCATTCTTCCTCGCCTAGATCCTCACACATGTCCCAGGCCATCTGTCATCTGGAGGCACAATGGCCTCGGAGCCCAGGGTGGAATTGCGGCGCCTGTGAGAGCGGATCCCCCTTTCCGCCAACAAGCATGGCGGCAGAGTGGCGAGCAGGCACCCCTCGAGGAAGCCAGGAGGAGCGGAGTGATGCCTGGGCCACGGTGCATGGTGGGCCCCCTCCCTGGGTGGCCAGCTCTCCCACTCCCCGGACCTTTTGGGATCCCCCTTGGCAGAAGTGGGGGGTACTTGCTCCGAACCCAGAAGAGTCCCAGCAAGGGACGTGCCTCCCTGGTCCCCCCTCCCGGGCTCCGTTCTGGCCACTGGGATGGCCCTGAGAGCAGGGGTGCCCTCGCCAGGCGCTCTCGCGGCACGCGCGTCCCCACGCAGGAGGCTGTCGTGAGAGGTGGCGCCAGTGGCTGACCTGGCGGGCAGAGTGCCCTGGCCTTCCCAGCAGAAGGGTCCCAGCTCACAGCGTGGGGGGCAACTGAATCCGGCCCTCAGACCGAACAAAGGTCAGCGCCCCACCCTAAATGGCTCTTGATCACCTCTGCCTGAGCGTGAGCAGGGGCCTTGGGAG